CGAACACGTCAGCTGCTCGGGAGAGGCCGCAGTTGGCTTTTGGGCAGTTCTGTGGAGCTGGTGGCTTCCAAGCTTGCTTCACCAGGGGCTTCTTTCCCGGTTTTTTTTTTTTTTTTTTTTTTCTTTTTTTTTTTCTTTTTGTGGTAACAGTCACGGAAAACGTTACAAAAATCTTCCGAGCCGTTAGGAATCACGTGGAAGCATTCAAATATCCCGGCCAGGCAGCGGGCGAGGCCCGGGGAGGGAAGCGCGGCCCCGCGGGACTCGCTCCGCGCTCAGAGCGCATAAAGAGCTTCTGTTCCTGCGCCGCGGGGCTAAAGCGGCTAAAAGCAAATACCGGCACTGACTTTCCAAACCCCTCTCGACGGAAAAGCCTGTCCCTGGGAGCGCCTGGCGGGCGGGCCGGCGCGGGCTGCGGCTGCTCGGTGCCGGAGCCCGGGGGGACACGGCCGGGGGGGCTCTCCTGCTCACGGGCTGTGTCTGTCCCGCAGCAATGGCTGGTGAACGGCGAGTACGCGGCAGACCTGTGGCAGAACTGCACCTCCGGCAGCCCCTTCCAGTGCGTGGCATCCTCCTCCAACGGTGAGTGCTCCCCGGGATCGGGGCTGTGCCCTGGGATCAGAGCTGTCCTCTGGAATTAGGGCTGTGCCCCCATGGGTCAGGGCTGTGCCCCCATGGGTCAGGGCTGTGCCCCTGGGATCGGGGCTGTGTCCCCGGGATCGGGGCTGTGCCCTGGGATCAGAGCTGTCCTCTGGAATTAGGGCTGTGCTCCCATGGGTCAGGGCTGTGTCCCCGGGATCGGGGCTGTGCCCTGGGATCGGGGCTGTAGTCCCTGGATCGGGGCTGCTCCCATGGATCGGTGCTGTCCTCTGGGATCGGGGCTGCTCCCATGGGTCGGGCCTGCTCCCTCTGCCGCTTTCGTTCTCCCCCTGGCACCTATGGAATCAAGAGGGATTTGCCACCCGGGTTGTTTGGGCTTCCTCCTCGGATTTTCCTTTCCCCATCCCCTTGCCTGCCGTGCTCTGTTGTGTCCCGGTGTGGGGACACGGGGCTGGCCCGGCAGGGGGGGATTGCTCCCGGTCCCCTCCCAGTCCCTGAAGCTGTGACGGGGCTTAGGACCAGGACTAGACCCGCTGGCCACGGCTCTGCCGCGGGCTGAGGGGCAGCCCCTGGCAGCCAGGGCAGGGTGGCACGCTCAGCTGCCCTGGCGTGTGCCCTTTTGGGGGTCTCCTGTTATTAGCACGTTTATCTTCTGGAATTCACAAACACAAGGTGTTCCTTCCTGTGACAGGCCACTGGGCCCTGTCACCCTGCTGGAGGCTCTGGGGCTCTTTTTGGAGCAGCTCCCTCTTGCTCTGCTCGTGAGGGTTTTGAAGGATGCACACGGGGCCCTGAGCACACCCCTGTCCCCTACCTGGAGACCTGTCCTGGTTTTGCGCCGGCACAGGCTGGGGTTTGGGCACAGCCCTGGCCCTGGGCTGGGCTCTGGGGGCTGTGGGGGCTGTGCCCTGCATGCCCTGCCCCTGCACGGCCACCGCGGGGCCCAGCTGGGTGAAGGCTGATGTCTCACTGGGTGACATCACCCCTGAACAGTTTGCTGAGGTCAGCAGGGGAGGACAGTGCTGAGACACGCAGTTCCCAGGGTGACCAGTGGCATCAGGGACACCAAATCCATGTCAGAGATTTGGGCGAGCCCGTGCCTCAGTTTCCCTGGAAGATAGAGCTAATGCCAGTGGTGCTGGGGCCAACATTTGTTTTGTTAGCCTGGCTTGTGCTTTCCTGGGACACGGGCACACCGTGCCGGGGCAGGAGCACAGTGATGCCGTGCGGGCCTGGGGAGGGGGCACGGCCACACGGGGAGCATTCCGTGCTCCCGGAGGGTCCCTCGGTGCCGGGAGGCTGTGACAGGGTTTTTGGAGACTCCCATCAGAGCCCCCGTCCTTGGGAGCGCACCTCTCGTGTTACCCCGTGGGGAGGCCATGCCCTGCCGTGTCCCCACGCTGTGGCCGCTGTCCCCAGCCCTGTTTCCCTGGCGCTCCCAGCCCAGCGCAGGTCTCTGCTGACGCCTGCTGGTGTCGGGACCAGCGGGAGCGGCTGGCTCGCGTCCCGGGCGCGGAGCCCGGGGCTGGGGGCTCTTTCAGCCGGGGGCTCTTGCAGATGGGGGCTCTTACAGATGGGGGCTCTTGCAGCCGGGGGCTCTTGCAGCGTCGGCAGCCCCGTTCCAGCGCCAGTCATGCGAGCTGCGAAACTGCTGAGCCCCCGACTGGCATGAAAGGCAGCGCTTGCGCCCGGCAGCCCCGCAGCCTCTAAAGCCTCCCCAAATCTCTGGCTTTTCAAGCCCGCCCCGCTGGTTCTGGATGTTTACAGGACGCTCTGCCGGGGCTGGCAGGGCTGAGGGGGCCCTGTCCCAACGGGGCTTGGGTGGTTTCTGCACACCCGGCGGTGCTGCCGCGGGCTGGGAATGTCCTCTGCCCGTTCCCAGAGTCTCTGCAGCCTTTCCAGCGCTGATTTTTCATCACTAAAGGGACGATAGCCGCGCTGATCCTGTTAAATGCAGCTGAGTTGGGGTGACAGCCCTGACGCAGTGGCAGGTGAGGCGGGATGAGTCCATCTGTAACGTCCCTTCCGACCCAAACCAGTCTGGGATTCCGGGATAAAGTGCCCCAGTGAGCTGCTCTGTGAGCAGAAGTTCACTGTGCTCTCTGACAGCTCTCACTTACCCAAAGGCTCTGCTCTGGCACCAGGACCAGGGGGTTTTGCTTGGACAAAGCTTGTGCCCCATTCCCCTGCAGCCAGGGTGTGGGAGCAGTGCTGCTGAGGTCCTGCCTTCATCCTGTGGGACCCTGGATGCAGGCTCCAGAGCCCACCGCTGCTCTAGGAACATGAGATCAAAGGATATTTCCTGGGCTTATGTAGGGCCTTTCAGGTCTGTTAGTAAAAACAACAAGGATGCCACGTGGTCTCCTTTCCAGCAGGTCCTCCCTCCCTGTCCCTGCTGCAGGAGCTGCTGTCAGCCACGCTCTGGAGCAGCACTGAGGTCACAGGGCAAGGACACTGTGGCAGAGCCCCCTGCGAGGCTCCTTCCTCATCCTCACCCCCTCTCCTAGGAATCTGCTTATTTTCAAAATTAGGAACCATCCCATACAAATACCACAAGCCATCCTTGGTGACAGCTCTCAGAAGAGAGGCTGTGAGCTCCAGAGAGCCATAAGAATTCATTTCCCTGTGCCCAGGATGGTAATGAATGGTTAATCCTGGAGGGCCAAGGTGCTCTGGGGAACAGCAAGGAATCCTCCTTGGGAATTTTGGCACAACTTCCAGTCTTCACATGGAGGGCAGGTTTTGCTCTGGCCATCATGGTGGCCTCTGAGGTGTGGTTATTTCTTCTCTTTTCAGAAGGCAGTGGGACTCAGTGAGTGGAATTTGGGAATTAGACGGTGCAGGGTCACCTGTGCTCACCACGGGTGGGGATTTTGGGGGGTGGTGATGCTGTGGTGCCCCCTTGGTCTCAGCTGAGCCTCCCCTGTCCTGTCACACCTTTCCTTAGTGACCCTGCTGTGGATGCCAGCAGGACTTGCTCTGGTTTGCCCTGGGCAGGCTCAGGGCTGTGCTCCTCACCCTGCAGAGCCTCCTGGGGATGGAGCAGCGCCAGGGCTGGGCACACAGCACTTCAGCAGCCCCTGGGCACGGCGGGGGGTGGGCTGAGCTCCCAGCTCCCTGGCAGAGTGCGCGGGCTGGGCCATCCCAGCCGGAGCCGCGGGCGCGTTCCCGCTCCCTCCCGTGCACAACGCCCGCTCGTCGCTTTGATTTTTGCATCTGCTGTTAGATAATGCTTTTTTTTTTTTTTTCTTCAAGAGGCCGAGAACTATGGAAAAAATGTTGCAATCTTTGCTTGGTTTGCGCTGTCAGACATTCCTGGAAAGGACTTATCTGAGGAATTCGGCCCGGAGTGCGGCCTGTGGGTCGGCAGGGCCGCGTGCCAGCCAGGCCCGGCAAGTGCTCTGCAGGAGATCCCAGCCCAGACCTCCAGGCTGCCATGCTTTTTCCTCCAAAAATGGCCTTTTCTTCCCTCAGCTGGACGCTCTGTGCAGGAAGGAAGACTTTTCTGCCGCGTTCTGATCTGGTTGTGGTGGGAGTGCTGGAAGGGGGCCGTCCATGGGGATCCCCCACCCTTCTGCAGCAGCAGGAGATGTTTCTCCTCTTGGCTTCTCACAGCTTCTCCCGTGGCTGGCTCGTCCACAGGCAGGCTGCTGGTTTGGGGCTGTGTTAAAGGGAAAAGGAACCCCTACACCTTGGGAAGTGCCGGATCACTGAGTGCCAGGGCGCTGTGGTGCCCACGCTGCTTTGCTGATGTGGTGGCCACAAGCAAAGCCCAGCTGGCTGCCCAGAGCAGATTTCATTAACGTTGTTAATAATGGGTGATACTGCCTAAACTCGGGCAGGGCTGAACCCCCTCTGCCAGTCTGGGGGACTGAAACTCATCCCTTGGTGTTCTGGAATCACCTGAGGGGCATCCATAGGATCCCAGATGGTTTGGGTTGGGAGGGAGCTGAAATATCAGCCAGATCCACCCCTGCCATGGCAGGGACACCTCCCACTGTCCAAGGTGCTCCAGCCCCAGTGTCCAGCCTGGCCTTGGGCACTGCCAGGGATCCAGGGCAGCCACAGCTGCTCTGGGCACCCTGTGCCAGGGCCTCACCTCCTTCTGGGTAAAGAATTTACTCCTAAAATATAAAAATCTCCTATTCCAAGGGAATATTTTATATTTCAGATGAGTTTGTCCCATAACTTTCTTGCCTTCAATAGGAAAGGGATTTCCTCTGCTTAAAACCAATTTTTTATTGTTGCTTGCTCTTCTTAGGAAGAGCATCTGATAAGGAGAGGTTGGGAGCTGGTGCTGTTTTTTTCTCAGCTGCTCCAGATGTCTTTGGCTCCCATTTTTTCTGTGGGAGGGGGGCTCAGACAGCCTTCCCTGCCAAATTTGTGTTCTGGCCCACAGAGGAATGGGAGAAGAAGGCAGCATGTGGCCAAAGGATGACTGTCAAACCAGAAGAAAGGCTGGGGGTGTCCCCTGCAGAATGTGCTGCTGGAAAAGCCTTCAACCTTCATTTTTTGGCCTTGGTGAGCCCCTGGGATGTCCCTGTGGGCTCAGGCTGAGTGACCTGCCCCAGGCCCGTGGGCCAAGGCACACTGCTGCCCACTCCTGCTGCCTGGACTGGCCATCCCTGGAGCTTGGAGGATCTGGGCACGGAGCGATGGATCTGCCCCTCAGCACAGGCAGGCAGGAGGTCAGAGCCGCCACAAGGAGGGAAAGGAGCTGCCTTGGGCTTTGTGGAGCTGTTGGAAGGAGTTTTTCGTGGTGCCAGCAGCTTTCTGCTGCCCCAGCTGCCTCGGGAGTGCCTCTGCAGGATGTGAGCTGCCGTGGGATGTCGGAGCGTGGCAGCTCTGGGGAGCTCTGCACGGCCTGGCCCCGTGGACTTCTTGGATGGAGCTTCAAGGACAAGGAGAGGGAGGAGAGCCGAGAGGAAAGGAGGAGAGGAGAAGATTTGAGAGGTTTGAGGGGTTCATCTCCGTCTGAAGGAGCTCAGGAGAGGAGCAGGAGGCCTTGGAGGACTTGGGACGCTGTGTTCAGTCCCTGCCTCCCTGCAGCCCCAGGGCTCCCTCCTGCTCACCCTCCACCAACAGCCTGGGAGCTCTTTAGAGCCCCCTTTGCCCCTGGGATTTCCAGGAATCCCGGATCCAGCACAGCGGGGTGGCTCCCAGGGCATGGAGGTGGGAGCACTGGAAGGGAGCAGCGGGAATGTCTGGCAGGGCCACAGCAGGACAAGGCTGCCCTGGATGGGATTGCCCTGGAGCTTCCTGGGGACAGCGCCATGCCCGGCTGGGCACACTGGAGGAGAGGTCCTGCAGGGCAGGAGAGGGGTCCCAGCAGGAAAACTGTCCCCTGCAGGGCAGGAGAGCTGTCCCTGGAGGACAGGAGAGCTGTCCCTGCAGAAGTGTCCCCAGCAGGACAGGAGAGCTGTCCCTGGAGGACAGGAGAGTTGTCTCTGAAGGAGAGGTGTCCCCAGCAGGGCAGGAGAGCTATCCCTGCAGAACATGAGAATTGTCCCAGCAGGACAGGAGAAGTGTCCCCAGCTGGACAGGAGAGCTGTCCCTGCAGAAGTGTCCCCAGCAGGACAGGAGAGCTGTCCCTGGAGGAGAGCTGTCCCTGCAGCCCTGGGTGGAGGGGCAGGGCAGGGCAGGGCAGCCCCACAGGCGCTGGAGCTTTTTTCAGGCAGCCCAGACTGCTGAGCTGGTGTTGCTGCTTCTCCAGTTCACCCTTTCCCAAGCCTCTTGGGGGTGTTTGAATATCAAAACCATTGCAAGTCCCAGCCTTCTGCTGCAACCTGGCCTCTTCAGAGGGGAGGATGTGAGCTGGGCTCAGGATCTTGGTCCAGCTGTGACACCTGAGAGTGTGCCCTGGAGAAACTCTGCTCAGAAAACCTGGCTTTTCCTGGGCTGGTGCATTTGCACCTGTGCTGTTCCTGACCCTGCTGAGATTTAATTTGCAGCATGGGAGCAGCAGCTTTTACAGCTGGGGATGTGAATTTCCCTCCCTCCAGCTTCGGCTGTGTTGTGCGCTACAGTTACCTCCTTAATGGATGTTTTCTTCCCCAGAAGTGGTTGCTTTTGAAATGTACAGAGTGTACACACTTGGCAAAGGGAAAACTCCATCTGCAGCACATTCCCATCAGCTGCAGACCCCAGCACAGAGGGGTTTTTAATGCCCAGCTCTCATTTAGGGAGCTCTTACAGCAGTGGATCAGCTGAGTGCTCCAATAAGTGTCTTCAGTGTGCACTTTGTTTTTCCTCCTTGGCTGGGGCCAAAGAGGGCGTGGGGGGTGTGAATTAAACCCTGGGGGCAATGCCTGTCCTTCGAGGCCTCTGCTCCTGGCCAAGGGCACGTTTCCCCTGCCCTGTCAGTGCTGTCAGGGCACAGAACCTCCCTGCAAGCAGGGCTGGGGCTCTGCTGCCAGGGGCTGGGCTGGCTGCTGTCTCTCTGGGAGACTCAGCTGCAATTCCTGCTCTGGGTTCCTTTCTTTCCTGCTGGATTTTAGGGCAGTGAAACATGGTCTTTATCTTGCCAGGGCTGAAGTCTTCTCCCTGCTGTTGTAAGTGGTGCTGTGAGCACATCAGGGCCTGCAGAACTTAAAGGAAAATTCAAATTTGTTTTGTAAGAACGTCTTGCTTTGTGTCTGGCTGCTGACAGGGCTGTAAGCCACGGGGTCTGCTCCGGAAGCGGCGTGCAGGGTGTTATCTGTCCTTTCCACGCTGCTTCCTTTCCTCCTTCCTCCTGAAGAACAAAGATATAAACACAGAGCTGAAGAGATACAGGGGAAAAATGGGATAACCAGCCTGCTGCCCAGGGGAAACCACAAATAACAGCCTGGGAGTAAACAGTGCTGACAGCTCAGCTGCAGCTCTGGGAAACTTGCTGTGTTTGGGATCCCGAGGGCTGGACGTGGCACCAACAGCAAAGAGTTAAAGGCAAGTGGGGCTGAACAGGTAGAAACCCTACCTGCAGTACTAGGGGTGTTTTTAAATGTATTACAGGCAATTAGCTGTCCTAATCCAGCTGGAGTCTGTGGGCAGCTGCTGTGGAGTTCATGGAGCTCTGGAACTCGCTCTCAGCCCTGGGCTGGGATCCTGCCCTTTGTTTTCACAAAGGAGGACAGCAAAAGTCAGCACAGGCTGGATGTGAGCTCAGAGCTCTGGCCTGTGGGATCATCTCCTGATTTCCCTGCTCCCAGGCTGGCTGCCCGAGCCCTCTGGCCACGGTGGGCTCCCCCCTCACGCTGCCTTTCTGTGCCTCTGACACGGCTCTTTATTACAATGGGATTTGCAAAGCCCCTGTAAATCATTTGCATTCAGAACCAAAAACCGGGCAGGGGAGGCGGATGCAATTAAAGGGCAGCTCAGCTTTCCGTCTAGACAGCCCTCTCCTAAAATAACCAGCAGTGGGAGCATCCACCTCGCAGCAGAAAGGCTCCTCTCGGCCGGATCCCGTGGCCTTTGCATCACAAAGGGCTTGGCTTTCTGGTCCTTGGCTTTCTGGTCCTTGGCTTTCTGGTCCTTGGCTTTCTGGTCCCTGCAGGGCTTGGCTCCGACTCAGCCGTGCCCGGAGCTGGGAAGGGGCGAGAGGAGAGCTCAGCTTCCCGAGCCGGGAGGGGATGGGATGGGAGCCCTGTGTGTGCTGAGGGATGGAGGGAGGTCAGCTCAGCACTGCACATCCTCCAGCCACCTGGAGGTGGGATCTGAGCAAGGATTTAGGATGATGTTGGTGGTGCTGGAGCTGCCTCATCCCATTCCCAGAGCTGAAGGGGCAGGTGGGGCTGAGGCAGGGGGGTTTCCCTGCCCGGCTGCCTGAGATGGGGGAATTCCACTGGACATTGTGGGTGCTCATTGCAGTGAAATCCACCCTGGGATTTCCTGCAAGCAGCAGCCACTGCACAGGGCCGGGTGCCCTGGAGTGAGGGAAGGGCAGCAGCTGGAAGTGGGAGCTGTGACAGGGAGGGGAAGGACCAGGCTGGCTGTGAGGAGCAGGAGCTGCTCCGGGTGCTTCCAGAGCTTTGGGAGCAGGGACTGTGTCTGCTCCTTTGCCTGAACATCCCGAGACAAGAGGCGGAGGCCAGGGGTAGAAATCCTGCTCCAAAGGCAGACACAGACGTGCCTGGGTGGCACGGGATGTTCCTGCAGCCGTGGGTTTGCTGGCAGTGCCACGGGTCACCACTGCTACCCCCGCTGAAGGCTGGCTGTGCCTCACCCTCAGGCCAAACCCCCTCCCCAAAGGGGGCTCACAGGGATTCAGGGGGGACATGGGGTCACTTCTGTGGGGCGGACCTTGCCCTGGGCAGCCCCAATGGCCCCGTGTGCTGCTCCCAGGTCGGAGGTGGCTGAGCTGAAGGGCAGCTTTGTTTGGAAGCTTTGTTTGGAAGTTTTTCCACTTCAGCCATTTGCTGCAGGGAGCCTATTCCACAGGCAGAGGACTGAAATTGGTGGGAGTAAAAGTGTGGCAGGAACATGGGGCTGAGTCTGAGGCTTCAGTGCTGCCCCATCTAATCTGGGGATCCAGCCCCAAGCAGGGTTTTTCTGCCTTTCACTGGGTGGCTTGTGCCTCAGTTTACCTGCACTGAGTCTTGCATTTTGATTTCAAACCTTCCCAGGGAAGGGGAAGGCAGAGGTATCTGTGAGCACTGCCTCTCTCTGCCAAGCTGCAGCAGCTCACGGCATGGAGCTGCATTTTGCTTGTTTATTTATATTTTTGTTACATGGGGTTTACACACCCACTAAGCCTGGAAATAGCTGAGCAGTGACTCACACGGGCTGGTTTAACTGGTCTGCTCTGGGACACAGCTGTGCTTGGCAGCTGGGGAGGACTTCCAAAGGGCTCAGCTCCACAGGGGCAGAGGGTGTTCTGCTTCCCGTGTGTTTACTTGCCCTCGGAGCTCGGCCAGCGCGTGTGCCAGAGCTTGGTGCTCGTGGCTTTGGTTTTTGCAGCCCAGCCCAGCAGCCAGGGCTGGGCTCTGGTGTGCCAGAGCTTGGTGCTCGTGGCTTTGGGGTTTGCAGCACAGCCCAGCAGCCAGGGCTGGGCTCTGGTGTGCCAGAGCTTGGTGCTCGTGGCTTTGGTGTTTGCAGCACAGCCCAGCAGCCAGGGCCGGCACCGAGCTGGGGGAAAGGCTCTGTCTGCCCTTTGCAGGTCAGGGTTTTGTCTCTGCTCTGCTTTGTGGCAAACGCTCCCGAGGCAGTGCCCAGGCCTGTGATCCGTGGCATTCCAGCAGCTGATCCGTGAAATCCCGGAGCAGCGTGCCCGTGCTGGGGGTCTCAGAGCTGGGGCACAGCCCCCAGCTGCCCCCAAAACCCGCGGGAGCCAGGCTGGGCTGGTGGCAAGGCCACGGGCACAGCAGGGGCTGCACGTGCCCGCGCTGAGGTGTCTGTGTGTCCGTCTGTCCCCAGAATGGCTGCAGTCTGTCCAGGCCATGATGATCCTCTCCGTCATCTTCAGCGTGCTGTCGCTGTTCCTGTTCTTCTGCCAGCTCTTCACGCTCACCAAGGGCGGCCGCTTCTACATCACCGGAGTGTTCCAGATCCTGGCGGGTGAGGAGCTGGGGGTGGCACTGCCACCTGCCTCTGGCACCAGTGCCACCGCGGGCAGGGGGGCCTGGAGCGGGGAACAGCTCCTGGGGCACCTCGGGAAGGGAAGGGAAGGGAAGGGAAGGGAAGGGAAGGGAAGGGGATGAATAGTTTGGGGGTGTTGAGGATGGGATCCTGGGATGGGCCGTTGTGCCTCCAGGCTCTTGTGCCCTTGCACAGGGAAGGTGCAGGAGGGTTTCTGCCCCAGCCAGGGGGGCTCTGGAGGGACAGGGTGCCAGAGCACTGGGGCACAGCTGGGGCAGTAGATCACAGGGGTGCTGGAAGGAGAGCTCTGCCTGCTCCCCAGGCTGGGATGTTGGGTGTCCAGGGTGGCTCTGCTGGCTCTGGGAGCCTTCAGCAGGCTGGGTGAGGCTTCCACAGCTGCTGGTGGGGTGGGGAAAGTTGTGACAATCCTGTTTTGGCAAAAGAGGGCTCGGTGATTATTTATAAACTTGCCATGAGGGGGCCGGTGCTTTCCCCATGAGCACAGAGCCCTGGAGCTGCAGGGTGAGCTCTGACTTGGACTGTCAGCTGCTATTTTTAACTCTTTGAGAACTCAGGGCTGGAAAGGAGCCAGAGATCACGTCCTAGGCTGCAGTTCACCAGGTTCTGATGTGGTAAAGCCACTGGCTCTGTTTATGTTTCCATGTATAAAACCAGCGGAGAGGATTTTCAAGAGTTCAAGCTAAAAAATGTAATGGTGCTTCGAGGTCCTGGCTGCCTTAGGACAGAGTGTCTGGGCAGGAGACTGATTCTTTCCTGGAGCTTCAGAAGTTAAACTAGAACCACCCGAGGTCCTGCTATTTTATCAGCGGAAAAACTCATTCACTGAGCTTAGACTTTAAACTTTCTGGGCATGCTCTAAGCAACTGGCCTTCCCAAACCCTGGCACAATCCAGAGCTGAGCTTTATTGGCATGAATTCCGTGATGAGTGGATCTGCTTGGCCACAGTGCTGAGTTCAGATCAGTTCACCATCTCTGGAAAAAGAGATGCATGGAAACCCCTTAGAGCCACGGAGCCAAGGAGGGAAAATGGGCATTAATAATGCAATTACCTGCAATTAGCTCTGTGAGAGCTTCTCTAATAGACCTGGCAGCAGAAGGCTTCTCTCTCCTGAGTGGTGCTGGTGAGCCCTCACTGTCAGAGGCGGAGAGCAGGCGGTTGCAAGGCTCCCGAAGGCAGGCCCTGCAGGGGTGGTGGGTGCATTACTGCTTGCAGCTGGCTGCAGCTGGGCCTCCCTGCCCAGAGCAGGGCAGGTGCCCCAGAAGAGCAGTCACAGCCATCACCTCTGGCCAGCCAAGGCCCTGGGCAGACAATGGCCGCTGTATGTGGCGCTCTGGAGGTGAGCGGGTGGCCACACGCCCGTGCCCTGTGCCCCAGACAATGGCTGTGCTCTCTGTGCCTGCCCGGGCAGTGGGAGTTGGATCCCGTGCTTGCAGAATGGAAACGGCTCCAGCGGCGCCTTCACGAAGTGAATTCCCACTTGTGCACTTTCCCTGAACAAAGGAGCAGTGTCAAGTGGAATTACAGCTCAAATATCACCGTGCTGAAATGTAGGTGGTCCTGAGGGCCGGGCAGGGGATTTGGAACTCGGCTCCAACAACAGCCCCACGGCTGGATAATGGAACTACAGGGATTGACTCAAAGAGCTTGTTTGGGGCGGGAATAGAGGCGGCTTTGTGTGAGCTCCGGGCGGTGCCCACCCCTGATGGGGTGTTGGCAACAACGCTTCAACGCTGCCCACCGGGGCTGGGCACCCCGGGGACCCCCACGGGCCCTGGCTGGGCAGGAGGGATGAGCCATGGGCACAGAAGGGTCTGCAGGGAGCAGGGTTTCAAGGAGCAGGGTTTGTGGGGAGCAGGGTTTTCAGGGAACAGGGTTTTCAGGGAACAGGGTTTTTGGGGAACAGGGTTTGTGGGGACCAGGGTTTTCAGGGAACAGGGTTTGCTGGGAATGGGGTTTGCAGTTGAGCTCCTGGTGCAGCTGTGAAGGATGGGGGATCACAGCCAGAGCATCCTGAGGCCCAGCTGGGTTTGTGGTTTTTATCACCTAGAGAGGTGGTACAGAGTCCTGGCTTGGAAGGCCCAGCTCTGTGTCTGCCCTCCTGCAGCACTGCAGGGACGTGGCTCAGGCCAGGGTTTCACCAGGGGAGCGGGGTTGGTCTGGAGCAGCATCCCTGGTCTGCCTGAGGGATGGCTTAGCCCAGGTGATGCTCCAGATTTGTCTGCTCCAGAGCCCCTGGCTTTGCTTGCTGAGCATGGCAGAGACATCGCAGCACCCGCTCCCCAAACTCCCAGGGACAGGGGGATCCAGGGGGACAGAGCAAAGCCAGCTCCCGTGCTGCTGCTGGCTGCTGTCCTGTGTTGACTGTCCCCGTGCCATCGCTGACTGTCCCCTGTGCCATCACTCACTGTCCCCGTGCCATCGCTGACTGTCCCCTGTGCCGTCACTGACTGTCCCTGTGCCATCACTGACTGTCCTCCTGACATCACTGACTGTCTCTATACTGTCACTGACTGTCCCTGTGCTGTCACTGAGTGTCCCCTGTGCCATCGCTGACTGTCCCCATGCCATCGCTGACTGTCTCCATGCCGTCACTGAGTGTCCCTGTGCCATCACTGACTGTCCCCGTGCCGTCACTGAGTGTCCCCTGTGCTCCCCCGCAGGGCTGTGTGTGATGAGTGGCGCTGCCATCTTCACAGTGAGGCACACGGACTGGCACCAAGCCTCGGAAAACACCTCCTACGGCTTCGCCTACATCCTGGCGTGGCTGGCCTTCCCCCTGGCCCTGGCCAGCGGCATCGTCTACGTCATCCTGCGGAAGCGCGAGTGACGCCGCGGGACGCGCCCCGCGTGACCGGGGCACTCGCGACGTCCCCGCAGCAGACGGAGGCGGGGGAGCATAGACGAGAAAACGGAAAAGAAAATTAACCAAAAAACCAAAAAGCCAAAAAAAAAAAAAAAAAGGAATAAACCCTCCCATCCAAACCAAACCCAACCGACCCCCCAGAGGAAACACTCAAAGGGTTCCTTGTTAATTGAAGATGTATATAGTATCTATGGTTTAAAAAACCTATTTATAACACTTTTTACATATATGTACATAGTCTTGTTTGCTTCTGTTGACCATGCGCTGTTTTAAAGCCTAAAGCAAGTGCCTAAGGACCTCTCACTCCTAACAGTGTAACAAGAGCGCAGTGATTTTTCTCTCGTGCAAAATCCTCTTTGAGCTGAACTCTCCTGCCCTGTCCCAGCCCGTCAGAGCCCCCAGCTCCGGTTTTGGGCTGGCGTGGATCAGCCACGCCTGGTTCTGCAGCCGGAGGGCTGGGCCCTGCTCCTGCCACACGCTGTGATCCACAGGGCATGTCCAGATCTGACGGGAGACGCTTCCAAAAGGTTTGAAGGATTTCGGAGCAAAGGCTTTGATTGCCCCAAGTGCCTAAATGACTTATGTGCCTAAGTCCCACTGCCTTGCCGCCACACCCGCTGGGAATTTGGGCTTTTAAATCACTTAGGCCGAGCTGCAATCCAGCCCGGGCCGTCCTCCCTCGCTCGGCTGCCGGGGCTGGGCTGCGCCGAGCTCTGGGAGCTGCTGCTCCCAGCCTGGAACGTGCTCTGCCCTTGCCATGGAGCTAAACTGCCCCGAGAAGGCAGCCAGCCCAGTCTGTCCCTGAAATCCAATACCAGATGTATGAAATGGTGCTATCTATTTACCATTCCTTGCCCCGCTACGCCATTTAACCTTAGTCACTGGAAATTCAGTTAACGACCTTGAGGTAAACAACCAAGCTAGAAATGAGAAATAATTCTGTGTAATATAAATGAGCTATAACTGCTTTTGTACTTAGATTTGCTCTTACTATTATTTTTAATAAAGCATTTATAACCAAGATTCCTTTTTCCCCTCCGTGGTGCAGAGGATCAGAAGCAGCTCTGGCTGGAGCCCGTGGGGCTCTGGCACAGGAGCGAGATGTGAGTCCTCTGTCTGTCAGCAACGAGTCTGGCCATGAATGGAACAGGCACCAGCACAGACCCCGGGCTGCCTCTGAGGACTCCAGACACTGTTGCTTTTTTGATTAATCTTAGGTTTTTTTGGGGTTTTTCCTTTTTTTTTTTTTTTTTTTCTCTTTGCTTTTCTGATTTTATACCGACTGTGTGGACTAAGAGGCAATGAAATAAAAGTCAGAATAACTCAGGTGCTTCTGCTTGTTGGGGTTTTGGGGGTTTAGAGGTGAACTCTGCTCCACCAGCCTGCTTGCACAGCCATCCCATGGCAGCATGGAATCACAGAGTGATTTGTGTTGGAAGGGACCTCGAAGCCCATCCTGTTTCCCTGGCTGTCCACCTGGGCTGCAAACACAGCTCAGCTCGGTGGGGACAGGAGCTGCTGGGTGACCCCTGCACCAGGGTGCTCTGGCACCCCCTTTGCCCCTTTCCCCCGTTATCCCCCCATTATTCCCCCCATTATCCCCCCCGTTATCCCTCATTATTTCCCTATTATTCCCCCCGTTTTTTCCCTGTAATTTCCCTGTTATCCCCCGTTATTCTCCCTGTTATTTCCCGTTATTTCTCCATTATTTCCCTGTTATTTCCCTCGTTATTTTCCCGTTATTTTCCCATTAATCCCTTCGTTATTTGCCCATTATTCCCCCGTTATTTCCCTGTTATTCCCCGTTATTATTCCCCCATTGTTCCCCCATTATTGCCCCCGTTATTCTCCCGTTATTCCCCATTATTCCCCCCGTTATTCCCCAGCCCGTTCCCGTCGGTCCCGGCCGAGCGCGGAGCGCGGGCGCCCTCCGGTGGCTGCGGGGGGAGCGGCGGCCGCGGGACCCCGAACCCCGCCTCACAGGGATGTGGCACCGCCAGCCCAGTTTGGGGTTCATCCCCTCCCCAGTCCCTCTCACAGGGATGTGGCACCACCAGCCCAGTTTGGGGTTCATCCCCTCCCTGTGCGCTGCGCTCCCCACGGCTGGAGCAGCCCCGGAGTCACGGCGGCATTAGGGCAGGAGCAGCCTTCCTGCCCGATCAGCTGTGAACACTCAGAGCTAAACGAGTCTCCGAATTTCAGCGCTCCCTGGGGCTCCAGCCCAATTAAAATCCGAACAGCCCATAAAGCAGCGAGCAGAATACAACAGCAGCAGCGCGGCACTGAACGGCAGAGGGGTGAAAAAAATATTAGGGAAGTTTCTTTAATGTGTGTTGTGTCATAAAAGCAATTGTTTAAATGGCTTTTGCGGCGTTCTCAGCAGTAAATACTGCTGGAAAATGCGCTGAGCAAATCTCGTCTCCCCCTTTCATTTACTGCCTTGTAAATTGAAAAATTACGGTGGGAATTGGAGCCGTGGGTGCCCGGACACAGCTGCGGCTCCGGCCGGGCGGGGGCGGCCCCGGCCCGCGCACCGAGAGAGCTCCGGGAGCCGGGCCGAGCTGAACCGAGCCGGGCCGAGCCGTGAGGGACCGGGATATGGGATACGGGACCCGGATATGGGCAGGACACGGCTCGGCCCCAGCCGGGCTGCAGCAGCCAAGCCTGGGCAAAAGGATTCCCTCTGCCTGCTCAGGTGAGACCCCAGCGGCAGAGCTGCTCCAGCCCTGGGATCCTGGCTGAGCTCTGGATCCATCCTTTGCTCCAGCCCTGGATCCATCCTCTGCTCCAGCTCTGGATCCATCCTCTCTGCTCCCACCCTGGGGTCCTGGCTGAGCTCTGGATCCATCCTCTCTGCTCCCACCCCGGGGTCCTGGCTGAGCCCTGGATCCATCCTTTGCTCCAGCCCTGGATCCATCCTCTGCTTCAGCTCTGGATCCATCCTCTCTGCTCCCACCCCACCGCCGAGGCTGTTCCTGCCTTTCCAGCCTCCCTAAGCTCCCAGCATGAACAAGGCACTTCCCCCAGGCTGATGAAAGGATAAAAGCTCCGTGTTGTCCCTGGTTTATTTGCTTCCTGAGGGATAATTCAACACATTTAGCTTTCCCCAAGGGTGAGTTTTCCTGGGGGGAATCTTTGGCTGGCACTTTGCAGGATGGTTTTATTGCTCTCTGCAGGCGCTGGGTGGGGAGAGGTTTATTTTAAAGTCCTTTAACTGCTTCATTACAGTCTTTGTCGGTCATGTCTCCTTTCATATCCACTTTTTCAGCTTTCATTTCCCAGGGCTCCCTCTTATCTGCCTTTGGAGGCAGCCCTTGTAAAAAAAAAAAAAATTAAAAAAGGAAAATCAAACCTCAAAGCTCTGTCCCTGCGCTGCTTTCAAGAGAAAGGCCCCTGCCCCTTTCAAACCTCTTTTGGGAGGAATAGATCCCAAGCCGGCGTGCGCCACAGCCCCCAGGAAAGCCTTTGAAGTAAATTAAACCAAATTAGTGTCTATGATATAGATGAGCAGAGGGGCCCCCGCTGTGTCCCCGCCCGGCCCTTGGTGTAATCTTTAACCCCTGTCCCTGCTCCCCTCGCCTCTAATTGACCATGAAGCACCTGGGGGTGGCTTGGGGGGCTCCCATCTGCCCTGTGCAGGGCAGGACCCCACTCCGAGGGGATGGGGGGGTTTAATAGGCTGAGCGAGGCTGGGATAATGAATTACCTCGACCTCCCCTTCCTTGTGCTCAGTGTCCAATTCTGCTGCTTTTTCTCTCTTATTTCCCCTTAATGAGAGCCCCCCCTGGGCCCAGGGGCATCTCAGCCCTGCCCCAGAGCCCCGGGCGTGCTGGGGGAGCTGGAGCTGCTCCTGACCCGGCTCAGCCCGGGAGCAGCTGGGGCCGGAGGCTCCTGAGCCCGGCAGGGTGGCCTTTCCCAGTGTCCCCGGGCTGTGACACACCCGGGATGGCATTTCCCAGTGTCCCCAGGCTGTGACAGCCCTGTAAGGTGGGCAGCTCCTCGGGGGGGTTCCCAGCCCCCCGAATCCTCAGGGGGGGTTCCCACCACTCTGGCACTGTGACAGCTCCTCGGGGGGTCCCCAAAGGCTCCCCCAGCCCCTGGTGTGCCCCACCCAGCACGGCAGGGCCAGGCTGCCTCTGGCATCAATGGGGCTGAGCTGTGCTGGCGTTTCTTTGGTCAGGACAGGTCGTGGTGGGGATTTGGGGTGTGTGAGGGGGATTTGAGGGTCCTCTGCCCTGCCGGGCTGGGAAAGCAGCACGGGGTGGCCTTGCAGGCTGGGCAGGCTCGAGGGAAGCCCAGGGATATTTGCATATGCAAATTACACTACACCTGTGGAAGAAATTATTTATGTTTCCCTCCCCTGTCCCAAGGGCCTGCCCGGATCCCCCTGAGCCACCACCAACGTTTGGGATTCACCAACCCACAGCAGGGTCACCTGCTCCTCTTCCTGAGGGGGCTCAGAGCAAACCTTGGGACCCCCTTGGGGCAGCTGTCCTGGTGCTGGAGCATCTTCACGCGGTGGCAGCAGTGTGCAGAGGGCTCTGGGCTCAGCTGTGGCACCAGCTGCGTTCCCTGGCACGGAGGGACAGCAGGGCTGGCCTCGGCAGGGCAGGGACGGCAACGGGCACCAAATTTGCTGGTGATGCTGCAGGGCTGCCTGACATCCCTGGTCGGGGGGAGGATGTCCCCAGTGCCACGGCAGCCTGGCACGGTCCCCTCGGGCTGGCCTGGAGCGCTCGAGGCAGCGATTTCGGTGCGCACAGCCTCCACGAGGCTGCATGTTTGATGAGTATACCTATAAATAAATCAGGGCCAAGGGCAGTCGTGCAGCACGAGTGACCCCGCGGAGGGGAGAGCGGAGCAGAGCAGCCCCGAGCCCGGCGCGGGCGGGAGGGGGCGGTAGGGCCCCGCACAGCCGGGCCGGAGCGCTCCGGGAGCCGCGCTGGAGCCGGGCCGGGATGTGGGTTACCGCCCGGTGACCGCCCTGGCAGGACACGGCTGTCAGGAGAGCCGGGCTGGGGCACTCAGAGTCATCCCTGCCCTGAACGAGCTCCCAGAGCATCCTCCTCCTCTCCCCGGAGCTAGAGGAATAAAGCCAAACCCGGGCGTTTGCAGCCCCTTCCTGCTCTGGATTCCAGGAGCATTTTTACTTTAAAGCAGCAGCTTTGTGGCTGAGCATTCTCTTGAACACGGAGCAGCTCAGACTGTGCTCAGCCTGGCCAGCACAGCCTGTGGGGTTGGTTTTTGGGGTGAACTGGTTCATTTGCAGAGTGGATTCGTGTCCTGCCAGAGCCTGGTGCTCAGCCCTTGCTGGGGCTCTGTGGGGAGCTCGCACAGATTTCATCCAGCCCTGGGCTTCTCTGACGGATGCCTGGGAAAATCCAGCAGTGCCGTGGGGAGGTTTAATCCAGGGCAGATGGGAGAGCCAAGAAATGTCTGTGAAAGCAAAGGGTGTCACCAGGCAGGTGTGCAGTGGGTGAAGGGATTCTGGGCAGGTGGCCCTCGCTCCAGGTCACACACACACAGGGGTATCTTGGAACATCAGGCACAGTCTGAGACTCCCCTGCATGGGAAACACAGATTTGGACCCAGGAAATGCAAGGAGAGACATTCTAGCTGTGAATCAGAGCAGCAAAAGGAATTTCTCCTTGCTGAGGGTGGTGGGAGGAATTATTGGTGGTTTTAAGTGGTCTTAGTGAGTTCTTCAAGTGCTCAGAGCAAAGAGACATGAGGAGAGGAAGGAAATGACAAGAATAAATCCGACTGGCATCTTCCCAGGGATCTGCAGGATTTCCTGGTGTGCCAGGGTCACCAGGCATTTGTGCCTTGGCTTTGATCTTCACAGGGGTGGGCAGTGCCCTGGATGAGCATCCTGCTGCTGTGCCCAAACTGCTCTCTCTCATCCCATCGAGACAGGCTGAGCTCTCCCAGGCCAACTGGGATCAGCACCCAGGGGCTGCATTCAGCCAGAATTCAGCCAGAGCTGCAGGATCCCTCTGCTGCTGCATCCCCCAGTGCCCCCAGCAGCAGCCAGCGCTGAGTGATGCTTCCCCTGCTGCCTCCTGGGATGGCTGGATCCCAGCAGTGCCCCCCAAACCTGCCCAGGGGAGCTGGGGCAGTGGGGAGAAGGGGTGGGGATCCCCAAGTGCTTAAATATTCTAATCACCCCATCTTCTGGGAGATAATACTTTTAATTTTCGCCACACAAAGAATATGTCTTGAACCAGAAGGGGTTTGCCTAATTCATCATGCTTGCTCTGCACACAATACCAGGGCTGACAAGCAGAACATTTTAAAATGAGAGAAGTGGACATAATTAATGCTCA